GCGCTGACGAGTACCTTTTTTTTGTTTGTTTTGTTTTGTTTTTGTTTTTTGGTGCGGTCTAAAAACAGAAGGCCTTTGAGACGAGCTAAAAGAAGACGCAGAAGAAACACCACGTTCTTGTCATAAAGAGGTAGTTTGCTAGTTTGTGGTGAGAAGCTTAACATTTAGAATTTCAAGGTGTACGAAGGCTTTGAAAGTGCTTATTCAAATGCAACCTCAGAAAGATAGGAGCAGAAGCGGGGCATGGAGGTGCATGCTTATAATCCCAAAATGGGAGAGGTGGAGGCAGGAGGATCAGCAGTTTAAGGTTTTCATCCATCACAGAGCAAGTTGGAAGATTTCCTAGGCTGCACGTGCTCCCCATGCCCACCCGCCCCACACACAGGAAAAGAAGTGAGGAGCATGAATTTGAGCAAACCAAACCACTCTAAATGTTTATGATTGCATGTGGAAAACTTAGAAGAGTAGCTCCATGGTCGACACTGCTACCAAAGACGGAAAAGGTCCCACCATAATGTTATTTATAGTGGTAAAATATTTTCTAAGTAAATTTATTGTCTGATAGCTAGATGATAAATTATTATACAACGAAGTTGAATATTTGTAAAAGTTTTAAAAATTATTTATTTTATATGTGTGTATGTGTGTGTGTGTGCCTGAGTGTATATATGTGCACCATGTGCATGCAGATGCCTTCAAAGGCCAAAGAGAAGGGCATCAGAACCCCTGGAGCAGACAGTTGTGAGCCATTCAATATTGGTGGTAGGACCTGAACCCAGGTCTTTTTCAAGAGCAGCATGTGATCTTACTTTTGAGCCATCTCTTCAGCACCCCAAATGCAGGTTAGATTTTTAAAGGATTCGTGTGGCGTCAGGCAGTGGTGGTGCACGCCTTTAATCCCAGTGCTGGGGAGTAAGAGGCAGGTGGATCCTTGTGAATTCAAGGCCAGCCTGGAATAGAGAATAGCTATCTTATCTAGCATAAGTACATGATAGATGTAGAAAATTAAGAGAATGATGTATAATAGATTTTTTTACTTATAGTAAAAGTCTTAAAACTTCTACAGTGAGAAAATATCATTTTTCATATTCAGAAAAAATTTATGAATATTGGTATTACAAAGAATTTATATCTAACATTGATATAATGAGAATTAATTGAAACAACTGGGTTTAAGAATAACAATGTGGGGGGCTGGAGAGATGGCTCAGCGGTTAAGAGCACTGACTGCTCTTCCCGAGGACCTGGGTTCAATTCCCAGCACCCACATGGCAGTTCACAACTGTCTGAAAATCCAGTTCCAGCGATCTGACACCCTTACACCAATGCAATAAAATAAAGTTAAATAAACCACAGAAAATTAAAAAAAAGAATAACAATGTGTATTTTTAGTATGTTCTGGTTTTTGTATCAAAACAATAGCAAAAACCAAGCACAAGCATGTAGAGCTTTGTGTGTGTGCTTCTGTGACATTCCACAATTCTTACTGGGAAAATTAGTTGAAATCATGAAAATAACAACAAAATTTGAATGCTCCATCAACTCCTCTCTTGAGTGTTGGCTCATTTGATCTAAAAACCTCTAGAGCCTGCGTTTAGCTCTCGAGCTGGGCAACACAGGGTCACCTTCCTGGGATGACAGTGAAAATACAGAGGACAGGAAACAGCAGGGAAGCCAGGTAGCTTATGACCAGCCAGCCCCACTGGGTGAGTTCAGCTTCCTCTAGGACTGTTAAAAACACCTGGAGCACCAACCAGTTCATCTAGAAGAAGCCATTTACCACTAAATGTTTTCACTTAGCATCTCTAGTTGGTTCAGGAAGGACCTAGAAATATATTTTCAAAAAGCACCAAAATCTTTTCCCAGCCTGAAACAGCAAGGCTGGGGCCCCTCAGTGTGTGGTGGTGGATGCCAGGCTTCAGTTCAGAGTTGAGGCATTTATCTCTGGGTTCTGGGGATTCTGGAGGCCCACAGAAAACCCTTTTTCTGGGAGACAGCTGGGCACAAGGTGCAGGGAGCCGGAGAATGCAAAAGCACAATCATGAGAGCTTATTCTCTTTCCTTCCCGACTGTGGAGCAGTCAGGAAAAATTAACCCTCTGTTTGTTAACCTCTTAACAGGCTCTAACTGATCTGAGGCCGGGGAGGGCACAGGTAATTGCAGTTTGGTGTGGACAAACAGCAGGGGAGGAGGCTTTGGGGAATGCAAGCAATTAAGCTGAACTGGAGGAGGAGGAGGAGGAGGAAGGAGGAAGAAGAGAGGAAGAGGAAAAGGAAGGAGGAAGACAGGGAGGAGGGAAGGAAAGAGGGAGGGAGGGAGGGAGGGAGGGAGGAAGACAGGGGAGGAGGGAGAGGCTAGAGTTTGCTGTTCTACAAATTTGATATATAGGCCCCAGATGTGTGGAGGAAATTCTACCGCAGGCTCTTGGGTTGCTTTTCTGAGTTGGGACAGGATTAAAGGTGAAGGCCCAAGGTTGAACATAGTGAGGGAAGGGAACTTTCTATTAGTAGTGAGAGAAAGTCACAGGCAACAGGCGTGTGTGGTGTGTGTGTGTGTGTGTGTGTGTGCGCGCGCACACGCATGCACCAAAAGTTAAAACTAGAAAAAATAGCAACAGGGTCTTAAAATTTCCACAGTACCGCCACCTCTAGAGTTATTTCTGCATTGGCTTGCCTGTATTTTAAGGCAGTTGCTGGCAGGGCCACTTCCTTAGTTGGAAGTGATTGCTCAATTACCCCATGGCACTTTCCCGTGGGATTCTAAATTTAAAATATCAATACATATTCCAAGGCATGCCAGAGAGGGTTGCTAGGGTCTGAATCCCCCTGCGAAGCAAAGGCAGGTAATTACACCGGGAAAATAGCTCTCTTTCCTCAATGTTATACAGCAAATCCTGTTTCTTTTCCTTTTTCTGGAAACGGTAAACACAGGGAGAGAAAGGGGAGTTTCAGACCCAGGGTACCACAATGCTACAGACTTCAAGTCTGGTTTGTAAGCCTGTCATTTCATGAGCCTAAAAAAGCAAGGTGATGCTCACACCTCATTGTGGGAAGGCTGCCCTCATACCTCCTTTGGGTGCTGGTGTCTAGGTGCTACGATTTTAAACTCAAGACATAATTAGAAATGAAAGAGGAAAACCAGCAGACGTTTAGGGAAAGGTTGTGGCTGCCTGGAGACTTTTGACTTAGCAAGACAAAATGAGGGCTAGCGGCACAGCTCAATACAGGCGTCAGCTCTGGGCTTGATCCCCAGCACTGCCATAAACAAGCAAGTGAAATGCTGGATATACATATATACATTGTCTGTCTGTCTGTGGTAGAGATTGTGTTCAAGGTCTACAAGGCCATAAGTTCAATCTTCACCACTTTTCTTTAGAATGAGAAGTCCTTGAAATATGCATTAACTTTCCTAAAACATTTGCATGCCGACTTTGTATTGACCTGGTCCAGTCCTAAGATGTTCCTGGTACATTAGGTTGCTACTGCAATATGGCTCCTCTGCTCAGTTTTGGATTTAATTTTTTAAAACGTTTATAAACTTCATTTTATGTTCATCGGTGTGCAGGCGTCAGATCCCCTGGAACCAGAGTTACAGACAGTTGTGAACTGCCATGTGGGTGCTGGGAATAGAAACTGGATCCTTTTGGAAATCAGCCATCTCTCGTGCCCTGATTTGTTAATTCTTTAGATGTAGGAATACCCCATGGAAAAGACATTCTTTGAAGCAAATACCCATGACAAAAGCTAACTAAAGGTGAGTTCTGGCATCCATTTCTCAGTGTAGTGACCGCTCTGGCCCTGGAGCCGCCCTGCCTAAATCCTCTGAATACATTTTTTTACTATTTTTAAATCTTTAAAAATTTAAATGTTGATAGGTGACTGTTTCCCCACCTCCACTTTTTAAAAAATTATGGGTGCCGGGTCCCCTGGAACCCATAACAGGAACAGAAGTTATAGACAGTTATGAGCTGCCACATGGGTGCTGGGGATTGAACCTGGGTCCTCTGGAAGAGCAGTCAGTGTTCTTAACCACTAAGCCAGCTCTCCAGCCTGTCTCTCCACTTTTTAAACATTAAGAAACCCTATTCTTTCTTTGTATTTGTACTGAGAAGGGTGCACATGTGAGTGTAAAACAATCATGAGAACTGGCTCTATGTGGGTTCTGAGCATTGAATTCTATGTTGTCTAGTTTAACAGCTTACTAAACCCATTGGGCTATCTCCTCCACCTTTGAGTCCATTAGTCTTTGTACCTCATTTTTTCCTCATTCAAACATTAATAATTTCTTACCAAACTAAATACATTGGTGAATCTTGCAGAGAACAAAGCACAAAGCCTGGTCTACAGGATCTGGCACATTCCGGCTAGACACTTAGTACCAAGAGCGAAGTAGTGGGCAGATAGAGAAATAAATCCAAGAATATGAAGGAGAGAAACACTTGAACTCTTGGAGAGTGGACTATGTCACTGGAGAAGAGCCAGACTAAGCAAAGGGTATGACGCAGACAGGACATTGCATCTCAATAGCACACCTGGGAACTGTAAACCGTCCCTTGCAGCTGGATTAAGAGCTGTGTGAGAACATCATCCCAATGAAAGGATGTTTTCACCAGACTTGGGAGCTGGTACAGCAGGGGGCAGAAGCGAAACATGGGAGGTGTGCCTTTTGACACAGTATGCAGGGCAAGTGGAGATAAAACTGGATATACATACCCAAGGCAAACCTCACAGTGTGACCCATGAAAACGCTCTCCATGGTGGTGGCATGTCTGAATGTGGGAGGAACAGCAGCACAGGATATGCTGGCCCCAGGGAAGTTGGAGGAGCCAGAGAATACGGACCCAGGAAGCAGACAGGATAGATGCTCGCTCTACAGAGCAGAGCATTAACGCGGGAGCTGGGTAAAGAAAGCACACAGCGCAGCAGCCAGACAAAGCGGTCACCTACCATGAACAAGGTTTGGGCTTCACCCCCAGCCCACAAAATAAACAAGATGCTCAGTTAAATTAAAAATTCAGATGGATTTTAATGTGTCTCTTCTATCACATATACTCAACAGACTCAACTTTAAGTGGATACCTTATGCTTTTCTTTGCTGTCGAGAGCCTTATCTTCAGTATAATGAGGAAATGAACAAATCACAGTCTAAGGCAGATATGGTAAGTGCAGCTGAATAATCAGGACAGGAAAAGACCTCCCAACAACACAAGTGGACATGGAGGAGATGGTCATTTTCTTGGAATTGATAAGTCTGATGAAAAGTCAGGTAGTTTAATCTGATTCTGGAGTCAGGGTCCCAAGTGAATCCGCTAGTCCTCAAGCTCTCTTCATTAAAACTGGAGGGTATAGCGTCTACTTCACAGGCCCACTGGAGAGAAGTACGTACAAGGCACCTAAACACGGGACGCTCTCCCTACATGCTAATCCCTACGGAAATGAAAAGGTCACAGGCCAATGGGCTGCCTGTCACAAATACTCGTCAGTAGCATCCAATAATAGCAATGTTGACGTAAGTTATTTTATTTCCATGATCAGCTATTTACACTGTACAGACACTAATGAAAAGCACCCACAAGTTCACAGTACATTAAATATATTTACTTTAAAAATATATTCCTTTATAAAAGGTTCAAAGAGCACGGGCATGTCCATGTGACAAAACTCTCAAAGCCTGCCACCAATTCTGTGATAGCCAGAATGCTTCCGAGTACTGTCAGTTCACAATCACAGGTCACCATTAGAGTGTAAATACATACAGGCTTAAATAAGAAAATGGATTCTACAGTGGAAAGTCTTGAGGCGATACTGTTAGTTCATTAACATAAATACTTTCTCGTAAGATGCACACAGCCAACACTCCCCCGAGGACACGTCAGCCCCGGCGGATCTGGCCCCACTCCTTTACTTCTTCTTCTTGGCTGCTTCTCCTGGCTCTACTCTTCGCGTCTTAGATGCACGCTCATCTCTGTCATCATCTTCAAGTGGGAAAGAAGAGAGCTTCATTAGTAAGTCTTTAAAAAAAAATCAACACAGAAAACCCATTTATTAGCTTTATACCAAAAAGCTCACTCATCAGCTGTCTGAAAGCTTGCCAATAAAACTAAGTACTATTTTCAGATTAAACTACATCTGAAAACAAGCAGGTTTTTTTTAAATTATAGCAAATTGTAAATTAACTTTTTAGGGACATGTTAATATGGCTTAATTTATCTAATTTCCACGGAAGCCAGCTCTTTCTGAAACAGCCAACCCCCAAATTTTACCAGTGCACACATTGTATGCAATTAGACACAGCGCACGTCATAGGACCAGAGCAGTTTCTTTCTACAAAACATGCACCACCTTTAGCCATGCTAAGTGGCCACCAGCCAGACTTTTCCTCTCCCAGTCTTACAATCAACCCATCATATGTTCTGAGGTTAAAAGCACAAGAAGGTTCAGAGAATCTCACAGCTGTCTATTCTAATTCTGGACTATTCCTTCCCAGATGGCAGAACATCTTTACAGCAATAGACTAAGGAAAATTTGGGTGGAGAAAGACTATAGAACCATACAATAAACAGTACCCCTTCCACCCACACCATTACTATTTATGGCCACAGAAAATTTCCATGAATAAAAGTGTCAAACCTGAAAAAGTGGACCTTTTCATTCTACGTAAAAAATCAGTAACGTGTCTCAATACACCCGGGTGAGCACAGACTAGCTGCCAAGTCACACCAGTCTCCCCAGCAATGTGTGATGCGAGAGTCCAGCACTGTGGTGCTGGTGCCTACAGTGCTCCCCTCAGGCGGCTGAGACAGGGGACTGATAGGAGTTTGAGGCCAGCCAGCGATACACAGCAACAGCCCAAAAGAATCCCACAGACGCACAGCACACAGCTTCTCACTTCCTGACTTCCATGGTAGCAGGGACCAAACCCTTCCAGACAATCTTCCGTACTGAACACCCTCAGCCTTGACTTTACTCCACTTCTCTCCTCTCCCCTTCCCCTTTTCCCTATGTAGCCTAGACTTGATTTCATGATTCTCCTACCTCAAGCCTCCCAGGAACTAAGATTACAGACACAAGCCTCTGTGCTGGCTGAACTAAAGTCCAAAATACAGAATACGGTGCCATAAAAATATTTTGATGTTTTAAGACCTTCACATTAAAAACTTAAGGAAACTGCCAAGGTCAAATCATAAATCACATGATGAAAATCTGCAACCTGGCTGGGTCCTAGTGCCTGGCCCTCCTGCTTCCACTTCCTGGGTCTAGGGATTAGTGGTGTGAAGCCACCATACCCACATTAAAACAATCAAGCTGCGGGGCGGTAGTGGTGCACGCCTGTAATCCCAGCGCTCGGGAGGCAGAGGCAGGTGGATTTCTGTGAGTTCGAGGCCAGCCTGGACTACAAAGTGAGTTCTAGGACAGGCTCCAAAGCTACAGAGAAACCCTGTCTCGAAAAACCAAAAAACAAAACAAAACAAAACAAAAAAACAAAAAACCAATCAAGCTTACCTTGAAATTATTTCAGAATTAGTAATGGAGAAGTTGAAAGCATTTCTGAAGACTACTATCAAGCCACATTATAGAACACATTAAAAAGGAACTTTTCTTTTAGTCTGCAACTTACTACAGGTAAATTACAGATCAACACTGATACCACACACTACTAGAACTGGAAAAATTAGTCCTGTGAGTGATTGGAGGAGAGCGCCTGCCCCCTACTGTCAAAATAAGGTACTGCCTTAAAAACTAACACAGGAATAGCTTAAAAAAAAAAAAAAAAAAAAAAAAAAAAAAAACAAAACCCAAACCAACCCCTAATCCTAACATACACATACACAGGGATATGAAAACAATATTTTCTATCATACAGCTTGAGTCACTTAAGGTAAACATTAACTTAACCTGTTTTAAAATTAAAGCAGGCCGGGCGCTGGTGGTGCACACCTTTAATCCCAGCACCCGGGAGGCAGAGGCAGGAAGATCTCTGTGGGTTTGAAGCCAGCCTGTCTACAGAGTGAGTTCCAGGACAGCCAGGACTGTTTCACAGAGAAATCCTGCCTTGAAAAACCAAAAAACCAAACCCAAAACAAACCAAAAACAAACCAACCCCCCCCAAAACAAAAACCCCAACAAAAAAACCCATTTGCTTCATTAGCTGGTTTTTGCTATTTGTTATGTTAATAAAGCTATGAAAATATAACTTTTACTTTTCTGCATTTCACAATCACTAAACAAGCAGCCCTGATAGAGACAAGGTTAGATTTAACCTTTCTCAGCTCCTCTAAATTCTGAAGGTAAATGGCGAAAAAGGACAAAGGAAGAATATGGGATGACCAGATAAAAGCAACGTAGAGTAATAATTAATTTAAAATATAATTAAGTGGGTAGACTTTCCAATACATGCTTCATTAATTACAAACTATAGGTAAGCAATGCTGTTGGGGCTGGGGAGATAGTTCCGGACCTGGATTTGAATCTATGCAAAAAGCCTGACCAGTTAACATGTCTGTAACCTCAGTGATCTCAAGGCAAGGTAGGAGAGACAGAGAGAACGCCACCTAGATACAGCATGCATGAATACATACATACATAATACACACATAGCAGAAAAAAAATCTCAAACAAGGCAGAGGACAAGGACTGAACCTAGGGTTGTCCTGTGGCCTCCACACTCACATACAAGAAGAAAAAGGCAAATCAATATTTGTAGTGGTATTTCCGTCTAAAATGGCAAAAATATCACTCCTCAAAAGGAAAGCATCAGCTGGGGATGTGGCTGAGTTGGTAGAATGCTCACTAAGCATGCGTGAAGCTCAAATCTAGACCAGCATAATGTGCAGAGAGGCACACACTTGTAACCTCATTTTGGGAGGCAGAGGCAGGAGGATCAGAAGTTCATGGTCATCTGGCTACATAGTGAGTTTCAGACCAAATCTCTAAACAGATGGGGGCATTTATTACAAGAGTTAGATTCAGTAACCAACACTAAATCCAGTTTAACAAGATTTGTCAGCCTGTGGTATCACACGCTTTTAATCCCAACACCAGGCAGATCCCGGGTCCTCAGGCCTGTGAGTACAGTATGTTATGACTGACTGCTGTTTCCTGAGCCTCAGAACAACCCTTGAGTCATACGATCCAGCTTTAAGCCAGAAAACCCTCGGTCTTTTTGTCTTTTCAGTTGCTTACATTCAGTTTCTGATTAAAAGGACAGAGTTAGCTATGGTAGGTAATGTGGATGTTATTTGCCATTTATATGAATTTCTGGTAACTGAACCCACAAGTTAGAAAAAAGATGACCCTTGCTTACTTGCATATAACCTCTGGGCCTTTATCACAAGGGGACAGAGATGTACGGGCACCAGACTACCAACGGGTCACTTGAGAAGAACAATTACTTCTTAAACTAGGACAACACGATGGGAGAAACCCTAGTCAAGGCTGACAGTTCCCAACGCTGTGCACTTCGGCAGTCAGACACGTCTGACTGTTTTCTCCTCTACAAGACAGTGGTAACGAGCTTCGGGTCATACTGTCAGGCGTTAATGCACCAAGTATTTACTGTGACCCTGGACAAGTTATAAGCTCTCACTCGACATTTCCCTATTCTATGTGTAAGGCTGTACGAGGATTCTGTATTTAAATACTTAAGTGCCATAGATAAAGGCATTAAAAGTCACACTTTAAGAGTTTCAAAAAGTCTTGACAAGGATATGGCTACAGTCCCAGTGCTAGGGAGGTGAAGGCAGGAGAACTCAGTTCAAGATCATCTTCAGCAACAGCAGACACCCTCCTGCTACAGAGAGAACAACCTTTTGCTAAGGTTGGCTCTTGTATTGGAAGATCAGAAATCTGTTTAACAAAAAAGGCAAACGGCCTTTAAAACGATAGTCCAGGATGCTGAGCTCAACTCGACAGCCATCCACTGCGATGGGCTGCTGTGGGACCACACACAGAGGACCAGATGAGGCCTCTCACAAAGCAGGGCCTATGAACAAACGAGAGCACTGGCCCATCCCGGGTAAAGGAGACTAAATTACTACCAAGAGTGTACTGGAAATTGTTAGATTACTGTGGTAGTCCAAGTGAGAGACGAAATTATAAGATTACCAACAAAAGCAAGAAACTCTATGTCCTGTACCCATGCACAGGATTCCCCGCTCTGCCAAGCTAATTGTACCTCTAAAGCACAACTGTCTCAGAAAACGAAGCCGTCAACACACTCCGGCCATAGTTACAGGAACTGTGAAGGAACACCCGCGGCTCTAACCAGGCACTGGGGACTTCTGAGAGTCGGCTTCAGGCACAGCTGGGAAGGCGGCCCCTGCCTTTAATCTTACCACTGCGAGGCAAAGCAAACTGGCCTCAAAGGGCATCCAGCCTACATAGACCTTGTCTCACACCAAATAAAACGGAAAACCCGAAAGATGGAAGTGATTCTTGTTGGTATTCAAAGTCAAGGCTGTCATGTCAGCTCACCGGGGTCTAAACGTCGCTCACTGAGTAATCTCCTTAAAGAGACCCATCAAGTGCTGAGGTCTCAAGAGCACTCTTACCTGATTCCACCGTCTCCTCCCCTTCGGGCAGAAGCCGGGCTTTCTTAGCATTCTGGGGGGCATCATCACCATTGTCCTCATAGATGTTCGACCACTTTATCGCCATGTCGAGCTCCGGCGGCGGTGGCTTCTTCTCAGTACTGTAGGTCTCCGGGGGCGGCACATAGGTGGACTTCCAGACTTTGAATTCCTTTGGAGGCTGTTAAGTAAGCACATTAAGAAACCCTGTGACGAACCGAGGTTCCTGCGATCCATACAAGCGCATGCACCTCCCTGCCGACGGCTCACCTTTCTGGCTGGCTTTTTTAAAATTCTACTTTATTTTCTAATCCTTTAGGCTTTAGAGACACATTTCCTTTTCCATCAACATCACAATACTGTTAAGCGAAAAGTCAAAAGGCTTTCCCTAGATAAACAAAGCTAATAACTTTTAGTTACCAAAGAAGAATCCAGTCTCAGATACTACGGCCAGGCTGACCCCTTCAGGAGGCTGCGGCAGAGACACTGTCTTGGCGGCAGCAGCGCAGGCACTTCGGCGTCAAAGGGAAGGGGTCTCGGGGAGAAGCTGCAGCGGGGGGGGGGGGGGGGGGGGGGGGGGGGGGGGGGGGGGGGGGGGGGGGGGGGGGGGGGGGGGGGGGGGGGGGGGGGGGGGAGTCACCACCGTTAGTCGTCGCCCGGCTGGGGGCCCCGAGCGCGGAGGGGCGGGCGAGCCCAGGCTGACACCCCCCGGGCTCCCGGGGCCGTGGGGACGCGCGGCCTCCCGCGGGCTGAGTGCGTGCGGGGGGCGGGCCCCGGGGCGGCCGCGGGGCCGGGGACCTCACCTCCTCGGGCGCCTTCACCACGTGCCGCTCCCAGTCGATCTGCTTGTTGAGCGGGTTGTAGAGGAAGGCCGGGCGGGTCACGCTGCGGAACAGCTCGTCGGGGCCCGGCAGCCGCTTCTCCGCCTGCTTCCCGCGGCCGCCCGTCGTCGGGGCCGGGGCCGCCTCCTTGCGACCCCCGTCTTCCGGCTCGCTGTTCTCCTCGCCCGACGAGTCGGAGCTGCTGCTCCCGTAAGCCGCGAAATAGCTCAGCGGGTCCTTCTCCTCAGCTGCCATGACGGCTGCGGACGCCCACCCTCTCGGCCGGAAGCCGGAAGTCGCAGCTGGCCCCGCCCCGTCGCTAGACTGGCAGTCAAGTGATGCGTTTGCGTCCCCTAGCGGCGGTGCTGCGGTGCTGCACTCCTGCTCCTGGGCGGAGGGAAAGAGGCTGGAGGCGAGGATTCCACAAGCAAGGTTATATTTGCTTTCCCCCAGGAAATCCTAAAACCTGTACCAGTGGCCATAGTCACTTTCGGCTGGTAATTGTGGCACAGAAAAGCCAGGCATGGTGATGCATGTCTATAATCCTAGGATAGAGGCGGGTGGGCTATTGCAAATTTTGGGGGTCGGAGAGGTGCACACAAGGGGCTCCTTGCCAATTTAGTATTATGTAGGACTACCTCAAAGCAAAACAACGGTATGAACAAACAAGCGTGGAGGAGTGGGGCTTCACACTTCTGGCTGTAGCACTTGGGAGGATGAGGCAGGAGGAATGCCAAACTGGAGGCCAGTGTAGTAATTTTACCTGCTCCCTCAAAGAAGTTAATATAATTGTAAAAATCCCAGTTAAGGATCCCTGGTCAAAGGTGACACACTAACTAACTAACTAACTAGCATCCTGTCTGATTCTTACCTCCTAACACGGGACAGGGCTGTGAATTTGAGGATGGAAGGGGGGGGGGCTACACGGCCTTGCTCATGCTTATATTCCTAGTAATTATTTCAATGGCCATCTGGGTTATAAGTTATGAGAAAATAGGTCTGAGTGTTCCTAAAATAAGTTCCATCCAAGTACCTAGACTGAGAGATAAAGATGTTCTCAAAGTACAAAGTCCTGGGGTCCCCCAATCATCTTTAGTTCCGGGTGTGGTGGTAATAATTTGTAATCTCAGCCCTCACCCAAGGCCACCCTTGTTTATGTAACGAGCCTGAGGCTACCTCAGGTTATTCTGAAATTCTGTCTCAAAAGCAAACCAACCAGGAACGAGAGCTCAATGGACAAACATGTAAAACAACAGAATTTCCAGAAAACTTGAAAGTGGCATCAAGATGCTGGGATGGCAAAGCCTCTCCGACAGGAGATAAAAATCTCTAGCAATAAAAATAAGGGCTCAGAGTTGAGTATCAGGGGCTGGGGAGATGGCTCGGTCAATAAAGCGCCTGCTGCAGACATGATCGCCCGAGTTTGGGTTCCCAGCATCCACCGAGAAGCTGGATGTAGTGGTGTGTGTTTGTAACCCAAGGGTGTGGAAGCAGAGCCAGGATCCCAGGATCCACCAGGCTAGCCAAACGGTGAGTTCCAGGCCAAGCGAGTCGCTACTGAAGACACCGAACGTGGACCTCTGACCTCCACACACAGGCACACACATAAACATGTACTCACACACATAGTACACACACAGACATTGACCTCTGACCTCCATACACAGGTACACACATGTACTCACAGACACAGATATCGACCTCTGGCCTCCATACACAGGCACACACACACAAACATGCATTCACACATATATTACACACACAGACATTGACCTCTGACCTCCACACACACATACATGTATTCACATATATACTATACAGTTATTTAATAAAAACAAATGAAAAATGCAAACAAAACTAAAAAGATTAAAAAACAAAAGAGTCAACCTAAGTTACTAACCGCCACTTCCCTGGCCTGCTTGGCCCTTCTAGTACTGTGCTAAGGATGAGGCACACCCCCTGCAAAGCCTGAGGAGCAGAAACCAGTCTGAGGCGGCTCTCTTCTTTAGGACCCAACAACGAGACATTCTAGAAAAGGCCAGTGCTTGCTAGGGCTGGGAATGGAAGGAGGCAGGGCGGGTGCATCAGGAAAGATTTTTTAAAGCCGTGAAAATAAACTACTTGGCTAGGACACTATTGGGTAGATATGTAACATATATTCCTAAAAACTTACAACTCAGACAACCAAGGGAGGACCCAGATATGGACTTTAGTTAATAACAATGTTCAATATTGCCTACTGGCTGAAACAAGTTACCACATCAATGTAAGTATGGGGAACAGGGAGGAAGAGGATTTAATAATTATTTTGCTCAATTTTTCTGTTAAACTTATAACTGCACAAACAACATGCTTTTAACAAAAAGCAATTTAAAAAGTGAATGGGGAAGTATGATTTTTATACTGTGTTAATATAGTATTCCTAAAAAGTAACTTTTACTACTGTATCCATTAGCTTAGTAACAAAGTACAGCCTACTACTGAGTCAAGGCATCCTCTCAATTTATAGCTCCTCTTCCGTCTCTCTCCACCCAGCCACTTTAAGAGACAGTCTTGACTACAGCCTCTGGCTGCCCTTGAACTCACCTCACTATGTTTCTGCTTCTAGTTCCCAAGTGGTAGAATCATAGGCATGTTGGCTTTGAAATACTGTTTTCTATTTTAAAAACCAGTATATATAAAAAGGGTTAGACATTCAAAAATCAGACATTTTGAGTTTTTGACTCTGAAACATTACTACCTTAAATTTTTTTATTGTTAATAGCAACTTTTCATTTTTTACATTTTAAATAATAGAAATATATAGAAGGTGGATGTCAGAAAATATGTATTTATAATTTAAATGAAAACAATCAACATTTTTTAAATGTGTAAAGTTAGTCAAACTTTGTAATACAATAAAAACACAGCTGTAGCCAGTGGCTGCTTGATAAAAATATTAAAAACAAAATTGTCACATATTCCAAAAACAATTCTTTAGTTACTTTATCCATATAGCAGTGTTCATCGAAAAAGAATGAGAGGCTCAGAGGAAGTATTTTTATCCAATTATAAGTACTATTAATTAGTTACAAGTAACTAATTAATTTTTTCTGTGTAGCCCTGGCTGTCCAGGAACTCACTCTGTAGACCAGGCTGGCCTTGAACTCAGAGCTCCGCATCCGGGATTAAAGGATGCACCCACTGCCCAGCCAGGACCATATTCTCCAGAGCTAAGAATGAGGACGCAAAGGCGGAAATCCAAAGGCACTTAGTCGGCTGGCAAGAGCAGTACAAAATGAACTGTGGCCACTGAGGTCACAGGAGACTCAATGCCATCAGGTGCTCCTTTAGAACCCGAAGGCTTCTCGGAACCGAGGAGCGGGAGACTCTCCTTAGTGCCTGGCTTTTCTACGAGTCAGAAGAGTGTACTGCTGAGATGTACGGCCAGATCATTGGGAAAAATATCAAACTGAAGATTTGTAGCATAAATGTGCTAAGAAACATTATTCTCAGCCATGAGTTGATTTCTCAAATTGAGAAATATGTTGATAAAATTAGTCTTATAAAAAGTTCAAAACACTAAACATCTAAGAGAAAAGGGTCAATACAGAGAAGCACACATCCATGATTTATGCCCAGCTACCCGTAGTGTGCTTCTTTACTCTAACAAATCCTATTTACAGAGATGTGCACACTGTGATTTAGGACACCTGTGAAGCGTGAGTGGACTGTTACAGTGGCTTTATAAAAAGATTCTATCATTCACAACATGTTTCAACACAGACACTAGGCAGTGAAGGTCACTGGCGTGAGAGAGCACGTGACCGTAAGGGCAGAAACATCTCGCTCGAGTTTCCACAAGTTCCTCCTTCCAACTGCAGATCTGGGGGCAAAGCAGGGGCCCCGGGGTCCCCAGGTCGAGGAAGAGTGCCCGAGGAGAAGCTGCCGCTTTCAGTTCTGCCAACTTCCAGGACCGGCAAATTCAGAGAAGACTCCGTGGAGAAAAAGGGGGCGGTGCTAGATTCTCCTTCCGGGTGGTACGTGACCATGGACGCTCTCTGCTTTTCTGAGAAATTACTCTCATCTGAATTGGACCTGGAAAGGTTGTTGGTGGCTGCAGCTGCAAAGGGCTCACAGCTGCTGCACTGCAAGCCTACAACAGAGCATCCAGAAAGCAAATGAGAAGGGAACCAAAACGGACACGCCTCCCACCCTCTAACTCCTCCAGGACTGTCAGCGACTTCCAGTACCACCTTGGTACGACATTTGCAGCAGGGTCTCGTGTAGCCTAGGCTGCCTCCTGCAACCGCTGCCTAAGAGCTGGGGTTAGAGGCTGTCCTTCGATGTTCAGCGGCAGGATTTCAGCTGCAATCTACAAATGCTGCTGGCACAATCCTCTGCAGACCTCACTTGCTCCCAGACAAGAATCCTACTATTTCCAGTGCAGGCTAAGGCCACCACCTCACGGCAGCTAACTCAATGCCACGTTGTTCACGTTCAATGATTACTTGCATAGTTGACAGCTGAAGGGTAGGGTGGGGTACGAGGCCAAGTGGCTCAAAAGTCCAGAAGACCCGGGTTCAGTTCCCAGCATCCACACGGCGGCTCACAACCATCTGTAACTCCAGTTCCAGGGGAGCTGATGTGCTCTTTGGACTCTGCAGGCACCAGGCATGCAAGTACAGGCAAACAGCTCAGACATATTTAAAAAAAAATCCTTTAAAAAAAAAAAAGGCAAGGGGGCTGGAGAGATGGCTCAACTGTTAAGAACACTGACTGCTCTTCCAGAGGCCCTGAGTTCAACTCCCAGCAACCACATGGTGGCTCACACCCATCTGTAATGAGATCTGGTGCCCTCTTCTGAGGTGCAGGTACGCACACAGGCAGAAAACTGTATACATAATAAATAAATAAATAAATCTTAAAAAAAAAAGGCAAGCAGTTGTTCATAGCTAACTTTATTTCCGTTGAGAGAGGGCTCCCTGCTGGAAATATTATTGTAAGGTGTGTTACCTTTGTTTATGTCGCATTTGCCTAACCCTGTGAAGCTGGGTTAGGCTGCCTGTTTCCAACACCTGATGGTCTAATAAAGATCTGAACAGCCAATAGTGAGGCAGGAGAAAGGATTAGCGGGGCTGCCAGGCAGAGAGTATACAGAAGGATAAAACTAGGAGAAGGGGTTCAGGAGTACCCCGAGAAGGAGGAGGACATCGGTGGCCAGCCTCCCAGCTACACAGCAATTCACACAGTGAGATTTAAAAAAATAAGTGAATGGAAAGACACAGCAGCCAAAAGGTAGATGGGATAATATAAGAAAAGCAGGCAAGGAACAAGCCAAGCTAAGGCCGGGCATTCATAGCTAAGATGAGCCTCCGCCTGTGATTCATTTGGGAGCTGGGTGATAGGCCCCTCCAGAGTCCAAAGAGAGTAACATCATGTTATTACTACAGCGTAGGTTAGTGCTGCAGCTGCTAAGCAGCCCAGGGCGACCTGAATGAACTCTGAGTCTGTTTCAGCCTCCTGAGTGCTAGGATTACATATACCATTTTTATCTAAGAAACATTCTTTAGCATTCTGGCAAAAAATATTATTTTATTAAAAACAAAATGTAATCAGACATACTCAAATTTTACAAGTCAGGCAGTGGTGGTGCACGCCTTTAATCCCAGCACCTGGGAGGCAGAGGCAGGTGGATCTCTATGAGCTGGAGGCCAGCCTGGTCTACAGAGTGAGTTCCAGGACAGGCCTCAAAGCTACAGAGAAACGCTGTCTCGAAAAAGCAAAAAACACCTTACAAGTCAATAAATGGCAATTACTGGTTCTTGAGTCATGGGGTATTAGAACCGAAGAGGATTTAGTGACCTGAGACACTCGCTGCTACTATTAGGGTTGACAAAATCGGCGCTGAACGGGCGAGCCATGCAATGTTCCAGGACTGCCGTGCACAGAGGGAGCTACAGGTAGCTAGCGACCATCACAGCTCAAATAACAGTGCTTTCTCCAACAGAAGAATTCTACCATGTCCTGCCGGTCTAATGGACAGTCAGCCCAGACAGGATGGATGCAAACACTGCCTGTTATGCCTAGCACGCAGCT